TGCAAATAGGCTCAAAAATACAAGAGAAAATATTCTAGAACCATAGAACGGTTTCGATTGGAAGAGACCTTCAAGATGATAGAGTCCAACATTTGTCCTAGCCCTGTCAGCAGCACTAAATCATATCCTTCAGCACAACATGTACCCTTCTCTTAAACACCTCCAGGGATGGTGACTCAACTACCTCCCCAGGCAGGTTGTTCCAATGCCTGACAATCCTCTCACTAAAGAAAGTCTTCCTAGTAACCAACATGAACCTCCCCTAGCACCATTTAAGGTCATTTCCCCTTATCCTGTCAGTCGGCACTAGGGAGAACAGACCAACTTCCACCTCTTCAACTTCTTTTCTACAACTTCCTTTCAGGTAGCTGTAGAGAGTGATAAAGTCTTCGCTTAGCCTTCTCTTCTCCAAGCTGAACAGCCTCAGATCCCTAAGCTCTTCCTTGTACAACACATGCTCCAAATCCTTCCGTAGCTTGGTAGCCCACTTCTGTACTCTGTCCAGCACCTCTGTGTCCCTTCTTGTAGTGAGGGCCTCACAACTGGACACACTACTTGAGATGTGGCCTCACCAAAGCTGAGTACAGGGGAATGATGACCTCTCTATTCATGCTGGACATACTATTCCCAATACAGCCAGGACACTACTGGCCTTCTTGGCCACCTGGGCACACTGGTGGCTCATCTTCAGCACCCCCAGGTCTTTGTCTACCAGGCAGCTCTCCAGTCTGTAGCACTTGGTTTTGTTGAAGCTCAATTGGCCCTGGCCCAGCGATCCAGCCTGTCCAGATCCCTCTGCAGAGCCTTCCTACCCTCAAGCAGATGAACAGTCCCACCTAGCTTGGTATCATCTGCGAGCTTACTAACGATGCACTCTATTCCCTCATCCAAATCACGAAACGTTAATGCAGAACCCATCCCTTCCAGATGACAACAAGGTCCTGAGCAGCAAAAACCAGTCCCAGCTCAGACTCACTAACAGACAATAGAACCCAAGCTCAGAATCCCCAATGACAGTCTAAAAGAAACAGAAAAAGAGCTGTGTTGCTCCCACCTGAGATGAAGGGAAGACAACCTGCGCTGATAAATGGTGCTCCTCTCCAACGTTGCAACAGGAGACAGGAACTCTAGCAGCATCATGGAGATGAAGAAGAGATTATGACAATCACCCTAGAAGAACAATGACTAGAAACACCAGGTTTTTCTTAGGGTCCCTTATATATTAAGAACCATGGGAAGGAATACTGTGATTGGTCCATTTGGGTCACCTGACTCATCCTCTCCTCCCCATAGGCACAGCTCCTCCTCACCCCCCACTAGGATTTCCACTAATGCTAGACAGCTGCAGAGAACTTTTGTCTTGGTGCCTTCAAACCCAGACAGATGGTATTTCCATATTCAAGAAGAGTAGTTTACAGATTTGGGGGAGAATACTGCTCCAGCATCTAAGCTGCAGGTGAGACACGCTGCTTCTGCACAGGCATCTTGGAATCTCTGGTTTGAGCACAGTCATAGTAGTGTTTCACGGCACATAGGAGCCCTCTTTACAGCACGAGGTTTCACATGCTCTGCACCGCACAAACGCAAACGGCCGTCATGGTTTGTTTTGACCAAATGGTCCACGATCCCAATATGAGGGCCTGTTAAGAGGGTGACATCAGTAGATTCTTAGGGAGAGTTTGGGGGGCCAATAGTGGATTGACTACGTATCTTCTAAGAACAGTGAAGCACCAGACTTCAGGGATGTCTTGATGGCACCATGTGAACAGGTCATGAGATCATCCGAATTGCTGTATTGGATCAGACTAGAAGTTCATGTATCCTTTAGCAGCGACCAGTATCAGATGTTTTGGCCAAAGGCATAGTAGACAACTGTGAAATAGCCTACTGTGGAGGAGTTTATTTTTAAGTCTAGGCAACTGAAAAATAATCAGTATAGCTTTGTCTAAAAACCATAACATAGAGTCTCAGTGATTACACTGAAATAAATATTCTACTTCTCTTTGAAATAGACTGTGTATTTTGTCACACTGATTTTATTCTTCTCTGGAACAGCTTCCTGTAGAAATTCAAGATGTTGAAGAACATCTTTTTCATTTTCTGAGTGAAATTACCTTTCTTCATGTCCAACAGGATAAAGATTTTGGCCAAAATGTGCTACACAAAGCACATAATAACCCACCTGCAACAGTGGATACAAGCCTAAGAGTATACCAGCAGTATACCTTGGAAAAAGTTTACACAGGAAAAGACTATTTTTGGGCTTCAGCACCAGTGGCAGGGGACTACCTCAGCTTCACCTTTTTAAATCCGCTAAAAGTTGAAAAGTAAGTATTACGTGATATGGAATACGAAAGCATAGACAAATATTCAGTTTGGAAATGATTGAGTCTGTTCAGAATCACCAGTGCTGAACTGTTTTACATGAACCATTGCCACGTTACTGACAAAAAGATATCCATTATGTGCTATTTATCTGCTCCCCTTCTTGAATTCCCCTCCTGAAATCCATTTCTTTGGTAATTAGACAGCTTATTTTTTTTCCCTTTTATTTCTTCAGTTAAATATTTTTCATTCTCTCATGATAATTCCCAAAGGAATTTATTTTTAACTAATGATTTTTGTCAAGGGAGTCAGTGGAAGTTTTATTTCTATACTTGTCAACAGAAAGACTGTTTGCATGATGTCGAGTCAAAGGCCATGTCCCAAACCTGACAGTGTAGATGGAAATGAAGATGAAATATCCCTAGAACTCTTAATTCCAGGAATTTAAAACCAAACAGGGGGGGGTTTAAATATTTTTTAATTCTGTAAGTGTTTTTTCTTGGATTCTTGTTTTGGCATTACTGTTGCGCATCGACTATAAAGGAAATATTTAGAAGCACCTGAATTGATCAGTATTGATAAAAAAAGGGGGAATCTCTTGGTGTGTAGCACATGGTCCAGTAGAAACAGGGATTTTTGCTGCCATTGCATTCCACAAGTCCACCTCGCCTTGCCCTTAGGATGATGGGAGCAGACCAGAGGGCAGATCCTCCTGGTTAGAACTTAAGAACTGAGAAGGGGGAACATTTGCATTTGTAGTTCCAGAGAAAGACAGTTTTACTGCTTGTTCTGTTTAAAATAAAAAGCTTCTAGTATGGTTTGGTCACATACTGGAAAGTTTTGATGCCTATTTCTATTCTCTGTAGCCCACAACTACTTAAAGAAAATGTATTTGAAACTTCCCGTCAAAACTGGAAAGAATTACTTCCCTAGAAGTTTTCTAAAGTACAGAATTCCTGGAAATAATATAACTTTATTGACAGGTACTTTTTCAGAAGTGGAAACATGGAGCACCCTGGTGATAAACTGTTTAATACTACTGTGGAAGTATTACCAGCTGATGTAAGTCTCTCATTTCCAACTGTGATGCACAGTGCTAATTTATTTGAAGAATGATGTTCAGCATAAAATGTTGTGCCCTAGAAAATATTTCTGGAGATCTTACTATTTTGTTTTTTTACAGGAAATGTTAAGAAAAGAACTGGTTCGCAGTGGAAGTAAATTCAACTACCCAGCAACCAAAGATGGATATTTAAAAATAGGTAAACTGTCTATTGTCAGTTCAAACCCAGAAATTTTGTTGTTACACATAAAATGTTTCTGCATTTGAGAATTTAACTAACTCCGTAACAAATAAAATATTCCGAGGTGAACCACTAAAGAGAAGAAACCTTTTGCAGTACCGCATTTTAGAGTATATGATGTCTGCCGATGACTGTCCTGTTTTGTTCTAAATGATGAAGAACCCTACCAGCAGTGGCATCTAACTGGAAGAAAAACTAACCGCAGTTTCTGCAAGGTCTGAATAGGAGAATTGATCCTGGTTTGGATTTTGCAGCCTTAGCTGAAGACAAGGGTTTCTTACGATTCTGACAGCATTAACTTCTGCTCCAACCTGAAATGAAGACGAAGCACAAGGCAACGCACGTTCCCCGTTTTGCCCCCACCCCTGGTTCCCCTTCTTCCTCCCTGGGGATGGTGTGTGGCTTCTCTCAAACGAACGGCAGTTTCTCCACGGGCTTGCCAAGGCCTGTTTTCTACTGTCACCTCAGCTAAAGCACCGCTGCGTGAACAAAAACGGGCTATTGGGAGATCTGCTTTGCTTGCCACTTCCTTCTGTCTCTTCCACCGAAGTAATTGCTCTCTTCTCCCAATGAACCACTTTCACCTCACCAGCGCGTCTCGCTGGCTTTTCTGTGCGCCTCTCTCCCACCTCCTTGTGGCTGGTTCGCTCTCATTAGAGATCCAAACCAAAACGCTCTCAACTTGTCAACTCACAGGTGAGTGTGCAAGTTGGTAGAAAAAGTCATCCATAGGATGAGCGTTTTTCATTTGTCTGCAGTGATTTTATGCGCATTTAACAAGGTTACTTAACGAGCATTGAACTGGTGAAGAAATGTATGAGAATTGGTCCACGATTCCTAATATATCTTTTAAAAAATTATCATACTTCTTGGATTACTTAACATATGTAGGTGGTCACTACTAACATATTTAAATCTATCATTTAACATTTAACATTTGTAGCTATTGTTCTTTATTTCCTTGTATTCTTCTCCAGCTCCTAGTTGCTGTAACTGAAGGAATGAATCGTTCTTCTTGTTTATAGCTTTATCTTTCAGTTCTTACTGTCTGACTTATTCCAAAAGAATTTTTTTCCCCTAATGTTGCATCTCTGAAGTTAATTTGTAATGTAGAGCTTCTGCATTAAGTTCACTCGGAAATGTATTTCATTGTAATATACGTTTGTACAATTCTTGTTTTATTTTTTTTTTAGGAGCTTTTGAAAATGGGATTGCAGGAGGCAGTATCGATCAGTCAATAGGAAAAATACAGGCTATTCGTTTATCAATCAATTCTGACTCTCCTGTGTGGGCAATACTTAGTGAGGTAAGCATGTCAAAAAAAGCCTTTTAATTAAAGCTTTATTAAATGAGCTTCAGTTACTCCTACCATATCTAGTATTGTTAATGATTAATTTTTTTTTTTAATTTTGAATGGGATTTTTTTTGGAAAAACTGATGTGGAAGATTATATTAATTATTCAGGGGAGGAGTTAAATCTACTTTACAGAAAAAGTACTGGAAATGCTCAGATGGGAGTATTCTCCAGTTTTGCAATGCTACAAGGCAGCCACTAGGATTTGGGTCATGATAAACGAACCAACCAAAGGAGACAAGGAGGCTTTTGTAGCTTTCTTCAGTCACCATCTTGGATGTTAATTATAATATGCAATATTATCTGTGAATATGTGGGAACCCGTAAGTAGAAACTATTCAGCAGAGGTCACCAGAGAGAATTACTGCAGCTTTAAACTATAGCTGTAGTTGGAAGGAGGGAAAAGTTAATGTCTCAGGCAACGCTTCTGCAGATTTTAGAAAAGAATATATTTTGGTTTTTTTTCAGGTACTGATCAAGACATCTGAAAACTGAAGAAAATAACACCATTTTTGATGCATCTCTTGTTACAGATAGTTTGAAAACTAGGCTAACAGCAACAAAAAAATCTGGCTGGGTAATAAGAACACATGCAGACCCATCTAATTCTTAATACTGTGTATTAGGAAAGAGTTGAGATAACTATTAAATCTTTGTATAAAGAATATTAAAGGCTAATCAAGAACTTGATTGTGTTAGTAATTTCTATAAAATGTTATTGAGTAAGGTGTCAAAAATTTCACCTTAGCAACATTCAATATATATTGTTATAAATAATTGAGAAGGCATTACAAGCTGTCTCAGGGACTAAAACGCAGAAGTATGGTAAGTTTCACCAGAACTAAAAATATGGACATTTCTGAAAAATATTAAGGACAAAGTTTTCAACTTCACTAAGAACACTTGTCAGTTTTGAAGGGAAAGTAGAACTGAAGGAAAAGTTGCCAATATTCCTTACAAGTACTTGGAGCAGTCTGCTGAGATAGAAATAACAATATGAAAATGAATCTCCAACTTAACAGAAGTGTGTTTCAGCCTCAATGTAGCATAAGTTATGTTGAATACTTTTTTGAATGTGAAGTGCCTACAAACTACCATTTGAATAACTTGAAAATTCAGCAGATATTGTTCAGAGGGTTGTAAAACTTTTCGGTGAATTGTGCATTGTATTAACTACAGGAAATAATAAGGCTGTTACCTATAACTATGTTTTTGTAGAAAGAAAAATCTATTTAAATAAAATCTTGTGCCTTATTTGATAATCTGTATATGCTGATACTTAAATCCTGGTCACGAGGCAAAACTCAACATAAATTTGAAAAATAAAAGGTAAACTGCAGCAGTCTCATTTGAAATGTTTTTGGGAAATGGCAATCCACCTTGGACATCTAACTGTAATGTGCAGGATTCCTGTACCACATGGTTAGCACTTGAAGCAAGACTGGGCCCTTGTTCTCTCTCCTACATGTGCATTGCATCCTCACAGCAGACAGCCAGAAATAAACTGCATTGTACACTTTTGCACGGATTTCTACTAAATGGGCTAAACTGATTTGGAATTGTGTTCTTAACACAAGAGTATTTTTATGAACAATAAGATGAAATTAATTTTCTTACACTGAAACAGTTCAGAAGGGAGGGGTTTTTTTTCCTAAAGACCACCTCTAATAATATTTTGGTAATTTACAGTATGGTTTATATACTGTGGTTCTATATATATGTGTGTGTGCAGATACATACTGATGCATATCTATGCATGTACTTCTTGGAACCAAATATTGCAGCCTTCATTACGTTAAGAATTAATGCAGTAATCCAGAGTGCCTAGAGATGCACAGCAGGACACCTTGATCCATCAGCACTTAGAGGAAGAAGAAAGGCTGAGTGAAACTGCCACCTGCAGACCATTAAAAAGCAGTGGTTGCAACTGCAGCTACGGAAAGCAGGGAAAGAAATTTGCTCTGCACCAAACTAACTACCTGGCAAAATGGCAGAGCCACCTCGCTCCGACCCTGCTCAGAATTGCCTTTCAGGTCATTTTTTTCTCTGCTGATCAGGTACTCTGAGACATTCAGTCACAAAAACTTATACTAGGGAACAGAACGCAGCTTAGATTACATCATGGGAAGACAAAACTGAGTTTTCTGTAGTCATTCTCTCTCTTAACCCAAAGTGGTTTAGCATCTTTGGGGGTAAAACAAACTGAAGTGAGCAGGGCCCTCTACCTAAAAGGGCAAAGAAATGGTGTGTGGGTATGAAAATGATTCAAGTGTAAGTCTTCTCCTGATGCCTTAGTTCAGTGCTTAGCGTATCATAGCTTTTAGTACTCTCACAGAAATTGCATTATGGCACGGGGATTATCTTCATCTTCAGGATCTTGTCAAGTGCTCCAGATGGCAAGTTGTGGTAGATGTATAGCTCTACAGTCTGAATTGCCCTCTTCCAAGGCTTGTTTCGCCTGCCATCAAAAGATGGAGGAAGTGGAAACCAAAGTAGAAAGAGCATTTCTTGCAGAACATTTTACTAGCTAAGTGCATGATCTAGTAAAAGCTTAAAAATCTTCTTTTGCCATTGCTTTTACTACAACAAGAGTCACAAACTGGGAGCAGTGTCTGCGCTCAGACTGCCTTACACTCATTACAGGGAGGTGCCGCTGTAAGGAGGACATTTTGGAGCAGTTTTTAATCAGTGAAAACATGGAAAATGCCCTCTTAATTTCACAGTGAAATAAGATTTCACTCTAACTGACCATTAAAGCATAATTTCAAGAAGCTCATCAGAACACCTGAAATTGTATTAGGAAGTGACTGCAGTTTTTCATGGAGGCATAGAATCATGGAATCATTGTTTAGGTTAGAGAAGACCTTTAAGACCATTGAGTCCAATTGTAAACCTAGCACTGCCAGGTTCACCACTAAACCATGCCCCTAAGCACCATATTTACATGTCTTTTAATTACCTCAGGGCATGATGACTCAACCACTTCCCTGGGCAGCCTGTTCCAATGCTTAACAACCCTTTCTGTGATGAAATTTTTCCTAATATCCAGTCTAAACCTCCCCTGGCACAACTTGAGGATGTTTCCTCTTGCCTTAAATTCTAATTGCTTATCTTGTTTGCTTTTGACTGATGAGGAAACAAGGGTTTGACAAAAGGAATGTAATATTCGCCCTTAGAGAAGAATGAGTTTGTTGTCATAAACATATATAGTTTGAAATAGAACATGAAATGTTCCAAATCTTGTTAGAGTGTATGTATCAGTTGTTACGATAGGAGACCAAAATGCTCCTCTCTACGCCCCCCTTTCAGGTAGTTGTGGAGAGTAACAAGGTCTTCCCTCAGCCTCTTTTTCACCAGACATAAGAACTCAGTCGCTTCTCATAAGACATTTGCTCTAGACCCTTCACCACCTTCATTACTCTTCTTTTGACATGCTCCAGCATCTCGATGTCTTCCTTGTTGTGAGTGGCCCAAAACTAAACACAGGATTCAAGGCGCAGCCTCTCCAGCGCTGGGTACAGGGGCACGATCACTTCCCTCTTCCTTCTGGCCACACTATTTCTAATACAGGCCAGGATGCTGTTGGCCTTCTTGGCTGCCTGGGCACACTACTGGCTCATGTTCAGCCGCCTGTTGATGAGAACCCCTCAGTTCCGCCGGGCCACCCCCCCACCTCCTCTCCCCAAAGCCTGTAGCGCTGCCGCGTGAGGACCGGTGATGGAAGTAATACAGTTAACTTTATGGCTTAATGATCTAAAAATTCGTTAAGCTGTGACTTTGAGGGAAAGGAGCAACGTGGGACGTGCCACAAGAATGCAGGCAGGGGCAGCCCGGCCCCCCGCGCTCTCTCGGACCTTCAGCACCCTCGGCCGTGACCGACGGGGGTTTCCCACCAGGATTCGGCAAAACTGGGCAGCGGAAAAAGCCCCTCGGGAACTGTTCTCCTTCGAACACTTACGCAGCTTCGCTTAAGGACAAAACCGCTCAGTGAGACGCCCCCCCCATCCCAGCGATGTGTGTGCCC